TGGTGCCCTTCATTGGTTTTCTTTCAACATAAACTCAAATCTTCTAGTTTCCATAAATTTAAAGAGATTCAGCCTAGGGTGAACAAATTGATTATCGATTTGCAGCAAGGTTTGCCCCAAGAGGATTATACATAATGTTGTGCAATTTGCCTTTTTTCTTTCTACTTAACAATTTATCTTGGACATCTTTCCATTTTATCAACTCATTCCTTTATAAGACAAAACAGTATTCCATTTAATGAACGTACTATATATTTAACTGGTCTCCTATCAATGGCCCTTCTGGTTGTTTCCATTCTTCGCTGTTCTTGTTACAAACAATGCCACAATGGACAGCCTTGCACATGTCAGACCTTCTCCAAGGTCCCTCAATTTATAGGATAAATTCCTAGCAGCAGAATTTCTAGGTCAAAGGGCACGTGCTTTTTAAATACTGACAGGTACTGTGATTGGTCTTCAACAAGGTTATTCCCAGTTCCACAGCAATGTGTGAGAGCAGATTCCGAGCCTCTCCCTCCATCTGTTCCTTCACCTGCTCCTCGATGCCTGAGAAGATCGGTCTCCATTCGTCCACCCAGCTGACTGACGGCTCCTGCCTACTAGGACTTTACAGTAAGTTCTCCAGAGACTCTGACCAATGACTCTACCCTGAGTCACACTGAAAAGTATGACCAAAAAACCTAGTCCTTTTTGAACCCAAATCAAATAGAATAGAAAATAAGACAGGATCATTTAAAAATACTGTCCAAGTCCACCCTGTGCTTGAGAAGAATATACCCCAAAAAGGGAAAAGACCTCTCAGCTGGAAACTGCACTTTACAAGTGACGAGGGCAGAGACACCGCCAGGGGGCTGAGATCCAGCTTGTGCTGAGCTAGCCGCCCAGAAGGGGGAATGTATTGTAAATGTCCACCCAAACGGGGGCGCCTTCTTCCAAGGTACCACATGGGCCAGCTGAGGCCCTGGATGAAGGTCCTTTCCTGAAATTTTGGCTTGTGTGAAGAATTCCAACACAACCATTTGTCGCCTCTAGGAAGACTGTGATCCATTTCTTTGTCCCCTAGATGGGCCCTGATGCTGTGAGGCCCAAGGCGTAGGCCCCTGTCACTGGCCCCCAGCCTCTCCCCTGACATCCTGACTTGCACCTGCAGGGGCACACTGGTGTGGCGTGTGACACGGCCTGAGCACCAGGCCCAGCCTGTAGTACAGACTCGGCCCAGCCCACGGAAATGGAAACATCTGGGCCACAGCCTTGGGGGCTTTGTTTTTAGTACTAGGTCTGATGACCCACAGAGGGCAGACATGTTCACCTGTGCAGGAGATTTGTCATTTGAAAAGTTGTTTTATTCCCGCCCTGGGCTCTTTGCTGTGTCTCAGGGCCTGAGCGGGCCTGCAGGAGGAGCCTGCCTCAGGTGACCCGCCTTATTTGGGATCTTTCTCCACCTTGGGACATGGCCACCCCCCTGAGGGCCATCCTCGGCAAGGCTGGCACTTATCTTTCCAGAGAGGGCCCTCTCACTGGACTCTGGCCACCTCAGGGGTTGGGCCTTTGGCACCTGAGATCAAGAACAGCCACCTTGACTTCAACCCAAGCATGAGGGCAGAGGCTAAGGAAAACTTTCAAATGAGCACAGAGATATACAAGGTGCTGGCTGGCACTTGGCTACAGCAAACCACCAGCCCTCAGGTCCTCCTTTTCCCTTCCTGTACATCACGGCAGGCCCAAGGATGGGGGGGATCCAAGGCCAACTATAACCCCAGCTGCTCCACACTCTGCCATGGGAGGCCACTGTGCCAAATGTCTGTAGATGGAAGGACCAGACACTTGTAAGTAGCTTCCTGCCTCAGTCCCACTAACAGTGACTGTTGGTTCTCAGATCCGTGAGCAGCACAGTCAAGTCCCCTTAGCTCTGTCCACCTTTACCCTCTTCCTCCCCGCTCTGCCTCCCAGGTGGTAAGGACCAATGAAGTAATATTTATATAAAGGAAAAGGCTTTGTAAACTAGTGTGCTGTTCCGGACACTGCTGATAGAATGATGATGATGCGATCAGACTGCCCCGTCCCCTGGGTGGCAGTGACTGGTGGGACAGACATAAACCCAACCAGCTGATCAGTCCTTCCAGGGACCCCTCCAGCACAGCTGTTGAAGGGGCCTTGCCTGTCTGCTGGGTGTGGTGAGTGCTGAGTCGGGGGTGCTGGTGGCTGCCTTGCCTGCCCCGTGAAGAGTGTTAAAGGTGGAAAGAGATACACAGCCCTCACTATAATGCTTGAGCCCCTGGGTTCAGCTATGCCTGAAACTAGTCAGCTCTGAGATTTCCTGTTACATGAACCAACTTCCCTTTTGTCAGTAGGCTAGCTTGATTTGAGTGTCTGACATTTATGACTGAAGGAATTCCAACTATCTCTTAGGTGCATTTTTATATGTTGCTTTATAAACAAAGATTTTAGGGGGAAAAGCCTTGTTAATTTTCTTTTAGAATACTCAGCAGCAGCATGAAAAAGCATTGAGTGGAGAGATCAGGCAACCTTGATTCTCTGCTGTTTCCCATAGGAATTGCTGTGTGACTTCCAGCAAGTCTAACCTGTCTGGACCGCAATAAAATAAGGGATTGGAGTTAATGATGTCTGAGGCATTTTACAGTGCTAAATGCCTTTGATTCTATAAAAAGATACTTATCATATATCCATTTAGATATCAGATCCACTTAGTCTGATACAGTGTTCTTAATAAAGACTTTTTATATAAATAAAGACTACAATTTAAAACTAGTGCCAAGTATTTGTAATAAAAGCCTTTATATTAACAAATTACATGTGAGATGTCCTCATACATATGCCAAATATTTATTGCATCACTGGTTAAAATGGAAAAATTGGGAACAGTCTAGTTAAGTAAGTTGTGGTTCGTTCATATAATGGAATACTGTGTAATTGTGAAAAAGGAATGAAGAAACTACACTTGACATAGTCAATGCCTAAGGCACATTTTTATTTTTGTTTTATTGACTGATTTTAGAAAGAGGAAGGGAAAGGGAGAGAGAGAAACAGCGATGAGAGAGAACATCGACTGGCCGCCTCCTGCATGCCCCCCACCGGGGATCGGGCCCACAACCTGGGCATGTGCCCTGACCAGGAATCGAACTGGCGTCCTCTTGGTGCATGGGTCGACGCCCAACCACTGAGCCACACTGGCCGGGCACAAGGCACATTTTCAAATGGAAAGGGCAAAACACATGGTGCCTGTGCTGTGTAGAAAGAGGAGGGAAGCCAGGCTGGTGTGGCTCAGTGGACAGAGCATCTTACGACGGACGGAGGGGTCTTGGTTCGATCCTATCAGGGCACATGCCCGGGCTGCACATTGGATCCGGGTCAGGGTGCACATGGGAGGCAACTGATCAATGTTTTTCTGTCTCTCTCGCTCCAATCAGTTAAGAAAAAAACTGAAAACCTGTCCTCGGGTGAGGATTAAAAAAATAAAAAAGCAGATTCTGACTCAGCAGGTGTGGGGCGAGGCCCAGGATTCTACATCTCTGCCAGGCTCCCCGGTGCTGCCTGTGCTGGTCTACACCATACTGTGAGTGTAGTTCTAGAACCACACTGACCAAAGTAGGCACCACTATCCCCTTGTGGCAACTGACATTTGACATGTGGCTAGTCCACACAAAAGGCACTGAAAGTATAAAATGCATGCATTCAAAACCAATGCCAAAATAGGAAAATATCTTATTTATATTGATCACATGCTGAAATGATGATCTATTTTATATTGTGGGGTAAACAGAATCGATTATTAAAATTAATTGCACCTGTTTCTTTTTCTTTTCTTTACTGTGGCTACTAGAAAACACAAAATGACACCCGTGGCTTGCATTCTATTTCCACTGGACTGTGCCACTCCAGGACACTTGGCTGTCCTACAACCTGCACCTTGGGGGGGCACCTCAGTCATTACCCTTGCGTGCATGCAAAAGTCTGTAAACTGTGCAAGGCAATTCGAGAGCCTGGATGAGTGTGTTGAAGATTATAGCCCCCTCCCACCCCTAACAAATAAAACTTGTACACAGGTGATGTCTAGGTTGAAGCAAACAGTCAAAACAAGCTTAGCCATGGGGCTGTGAGTGAAAACATTCTGAACAACTTTAAGTAGCGATTTTGCAGAAAAAACAGCCTCAGGGGTTAGTGTGGAAAGGCAGGGATGGGGCTGGGTCTGCACGGCTTTGGTGACAGTGGGAGGGAATGTCAGCTCTGCATTTAGTCTACTTGACAGCACAGTTCTCACCACCCCGAGTCACATTCCAGCCCCAGCACCCTCAAAACCAGAGGATACCTTAAAGCAAAAGACCCAGAGCAATCACTTGGCCTTGCTGCAACCCAGACACAGGTCTGCAGATGGCCATTAGTCAGGAGTGTAATGAAAGACCGGCAGTCAAGAAAACCAATCATTCCTTCTGCACCGCCACGAAGCAATCAGCATCACCTATAGCCAAATTTGTAACTCACTCTTCCATTTCCATGTCCAAGGCGGTTCTGTTTTTAGTGAATGGCCCTTTCGTGTAAGATGCTCCGAAAGTTCATTCAGAGTAAGGTTGGGAGAGGATACACAATACGCTCTCCTTCATGGAAACATGCAACCTGGGACAAGGTTTCTATACTTGAAGCCACAGGAAGTAATACCTGACCCAGAGAGCCGCAGCTCCTTCTGCTCTGCTGGGAAAGTAATCCATCCTGGGCCTGTTCCCACCCTGTGCCTGCTTGCCCTGCTCCCCTGCGGTGGCAGGAGGGAGACAAAAGGAAGGCACAAGACACCAAAGGGGAGGGAAGCTCTGGTGGACACATGGGCATGTTGATATATGAGAGCAGACACACCTTTAAACATCATGTGGGCATGTTCGCTCTCCTGGAAAATCCGTGCTACAAAGGAGCAAAGCCACCTTGTTCTGGGCCAGACCAGTGCTCCCCAATCCTATCATGGGCCCAGCCAAGCTCCAGATGGTACTGACCAGGTTTTATTTCCAGCAACCGCAGTTTCGGATCCTCGGGTGGGTTCAATCGTCTCTTCTTACGCCAGCAGCGGGCAGGGTATGTGTACAGCTGGCCCGGGGCAAGTCCTGAGGACAGAGACAGTGTAAAGGTTAGAGGCCTGGAAGGGGCCTAGGAAACCACCCTGTCTAAGCCTCTCATTCACAAGGAAAGAAAACTGAAGCCCAGAGAGGTGAAGTGACTTGTCAAGGTCACACAGCTGGTAGACGGTAAAACTGAAGCAGAATCTCGGTCACCTGACCCCAAGACCCTTGCTCTGTCTGCTCCACCATGCTGTCTCAGTGAGCCCATGCCAAAAAGAACCATCACTGTTACCAAATCCTATTTTCCTGGCCTGGGGAGAAGATCAGAGGGACCTTTCCAGATGCAACCTCATCGCAGTGTTTCCAAAGCAGTGAATCTCCAGCTACTGCCTATCAACTAGCCCTCTATCCGGCCAAGCAGGTTCCCTTCCAGGTGGAGCAGCAGAAGTCTGGCTGCCTATCTATGGACAGCCTGGATTAGAAAACATTACATGGGAACAGGATCAAGAAGCCAGACTTCCTACCTACTGGCTTCCTCCACCCAGTTACCTACTGGCAGCTCACTGAAGCCAAAGCGGGCCCTGTGCAACCTCCATCAGAGTATAAGCCTGCTCTGTGACCAGGCCCCACGCCTGCAGAGCCAGCATAACTTATTCCCCTGCCTGCCTGCCTGGGCCTTATAGAAAGAAACGGGCAGGAGTCCTGCAGCTGTACTTATGCACCACGCTGTCTCCCGACAAGAGTTTCCAACTAGATTGGCCTTTGACAGCAAAGTTCAACACCAGCATTATCTGTCATGCCAAGTAACCCATGGGGAGGCTTCTTGCTCATCAAGCAACACCCTTGTGGCCTCTGTGACACAGTGTGGCAGCCAGAAGCCTTGGAGGAACGCGAACTCTCCACACTAGACCATGGTCTTGTCCCAGAGAAAAGGGCAGGAGGTAGAGGCTGAGGGGTGAGGGAGAAGGGCTTAAGACTGGTTAGGCCCTGGCCGGTTTGGCTCAGTGGTTAGAGCGTCGGCCTGCGGTCTGGAGAGACCCGGGTTCGGTTCCCGCTAAGGGCACATACTTCGGTTGCAGTTTGTCCCCGGCCCTGGTTGGTCGTGCGGGTAGCAGCCACTCGATGTGTCTCTTCACATCTATGTTTCTCTCTCTCTCTCTCCCTTCCTCTCTCTCCCTCCCACTCTATCTGTACAAAAAATGGAAAAATATCCTCGGGTGAGGATAAAACAAAAAACAAAAAACAAAAAAAAGACTGGTTAGGAGACCTGCAGACTAAAAAGATTACCTGATGCACCCCAAAATAAACCAGCAAACCAACTGATCCACCCCTGCTAGAGTGAAAAGACAGGGGAGGACAGGGACTTGGACTTGTTCCTGTCAGAATCCCCAGAACCAGAACTGAACGCCTGACACACAGAATAATCCAACCAAACATCTGCTGAATGAATTAATGAATGAGTGTGTCCCAGCGTTATTTTTTTTTTTTTTAATTTTATTTTTCTTTATTGATTTTAGAGTGAGGGGAAGAGAGAGGGAGAGGGAGACAGAAACATTGACGAGAAAGAACATCAACTGGTCACCTCCTGCATGCCCCCCACTGGGGATCGGGCCCACAACTTGGGCATGTGCTCTGACCAGGAATGGAAACAGCGACCTCTTGGTGCAGGGGTCGACACTCAACCACTGAGCCACACCGGCCGGGCTATCCCAGCTTTACTTTACGTGGGGCCACAATTCAGTCTTCTGTGGATAAATATGTCACGTGACAACTGTTAGATGCAGGTAACTTCACATGAGGGTCACTTCCTAAACCTAGAACCATGGGGTTTCTGAAAACATCAGGACTATATTCCCATGTGTCTTCCATTTGGGGGCCTTTAAAAGTTAAAGACACTGGTTTCATTTTTTGCCTTTTCCCGAAAAAAAAAAAAAAGAAAAAGAAAACGATCAGCAGAAATTTCATTGCTATATACCCATATATTCACTTTTCATTTTTACTAGTCATAGCTACCCATTTATTGGTTTGGGCCCAAATCAGAGGTAACTATTCCAGCACTAAAAGCAACAAAATTTGCAAATGATCTTTATGAGGTAAGTTTTATTTTTATTCACAAAACTGCTCCCACTGATTGCAAGGCTGTGAACAAATTGAAGGTCCCTTTCCCTTTTGATTCTTAGAAACCATTAAGGGTGATGGAACCTGGCATTATGAGCTAACAGCTTGTCATGTCCATCCAGTGTGGCTCAGTTGATTCAGCACTGTCCCATGGACTGAGAGGGACCTGTTCGATTCCTGGTCAGGGCACACACCCAGGTTGTGGGCTCTATCCCCAGTAGGGGGCGTGCAGGAGGCAGCCGATGGATATTTCTCTCCATCATCCATGTTTCTCTCTCTTCCTCTCTCTAAAAAAAAAAATCAATAAAAATATTTTTTTTTAAAAAAGAGTCAACCTAATACCTGCTTTTGTTGATAACTTCATGGGCTTCTGCACAGCGGTAGGATGCTGAAGTTCTGAGCTCCCTGAGCTGTGGGAATCAGACTTGTGCTGATGTACGGAAGCCCAAATTAATCAAAAGTAAGATTGCTCTCCCTCCCGTGGAGGTCCAGAGGTCCAGGTTTTGCCTCTCTTTGAGGGAAGGTGTCACTGGAGAATAGTTCTATATTTCTGGTGTGGTTCAGTCCAGGACCACATCATCTCTGACACTGTAATTTCTGAATGGGCACAGCTCGGGCTGGTGTATCACAGCGAAAGCCAAGTACACAGGCTGACCTGCTACTCCATGTCCCAGAACAAGTGCCACCAATCCCCATTATACCCTGGGTCAGAGCTTCTCACCAGGCTAAAACCAAAAATCATCTGAAGAACTTCTTAGTAACACCAACAGCCAAAATTCAGGGCAGACCTACCCAATCCAAATGTATGTAGGTGGAGAAATTGGGCAATTTACTTTTTAAAGAACATTATAGATCATTGCGATGTGTGAACGAGAACCTCTGGATGTCTAAGTATCATCTAGTTACTGCCTAGACGTTCTCTGTGATGTACCAAGACTGGATAATGGCCTTCCCTGTAAGATCCAAAGCTTCCCTGTGTTTTCCCCAAGGTGTTGTCATTAATTGCCTACTTACTAGACTGTCTCCCCTACTGGTTTTATAAGATCTAGGATGGCAGGAACTATGTCCATTTTAAGTATCCCCAATGCTTTGCACAATGCCTGGCAGGTATTTCAACAAGTACTTATCAAATAAATTCAACCAGAAATGAACCTGACTCAGAAATGCAGGAAGTGAATGACCATTGTCCCTGCTGTTCCAGGAGACTCACCTACCCACATCCGAACCATCCCCAGAAGGTAGGCTCAGAATTGAGCCCAGACCCACAGTGGCATGAGAGTCTCTGTACCTTAGGCTCCTTCCTGCCCCAGGGGCTGCTTCATGGCATTTCCAACATGACAGAGCAAGGGACGAGAAGGAACTGGTCCACACCAGTCCTCTCAAAAGATCTAAGTGACAAGAGGTCAAAATTGTCAACATTTTCCCAGGTCCTATGCCCTCCTTGAGAATGTGGTCACTGCACTTTCTGGTCAGCAGCACCAAGGCAGCCCTGGGCCACTCAACCTGTAGCTGCAGGCCTGTTCTCCTGGGAGAGTCCATTTTAGCAAGTAGTTTGAATGTCCAGAAGAAGGGAGAGTTTTTACTGCATTCTTTCATTGTCCCTGATGGATCAGAGAAGCTCCAAGGTGCAGAGGAAGAACACATGAGTCCTCACACCACAGCTCCCTGTCACCTTGAGAAATATCACACTTTTCTGAGACTGTCTCCTCACCTGTCAAATAAGGGTGTTAATAACACCTACCTTATAAGGACTGTCGTGGGGATTAGCTTATATTCAAGAAGCTCTTTATACTCATGAAGGCTTGTTCAAATGTCAGTAATTATTATGAGTTAGCTAACTTGGACGAGTCTGGACTCCATGTCCACGTGACATGACAAGCCTCCCACTGCAGGTTCATGCTGCTCTTTGCTTCTTTAGCCACAGAATGGGAACAGGCCTCCTTTTGAGGTCTCCTTTGACTATACCTCACCTCAACAAGCAAATGGCCCCTCAAACACTCGGGGGGCTCCTGCCCCCTCTTCCTAGGCTGACAGGCACCAGGGTGACTGTATAGGGCCAACACCTTCAACCCTGGAGTTCCACTTATAAAGGGATGAACAGAGCCCCGTGAGAGTTATGTTGTTTATCTCATTAGAACAGGAGGCACATAACTCAAAGCCCTTGTGTGTGGTAAATGGAGAAGGGAGGCGGGTGGAGGCACAGCTGCAGCCTGGGAAATTAAGCTTAAGGAGCGAGCCTGAGGCTGGGAGGCTATGGAGGAGGGGAAAGGGAGGAAGGAGACTGGAGGGTAGATCAGTCTTCCCTGGGAACCAAGGCCACAGCTATGCCTCCATTCACATACCCCATTAAGCAAGCTGCTTCGCTTTGCTTTTTAATATGTTTTTATTGATATTTTAGGGAGAGAGAGATAGAAACAAACATGTGAAAGAGAAACATGGATGGGCTGCCTCCTTCATGCCCCCCATTGGGGACTGAGTCTGCAACCAGGGCATGTGCCCTGACCGGGAATCGAACCGGGAATTGAACGGGGACAACGCTCAGTCCACTGAGCCACACTGGCCAGGCACAAACTGCTTTTCCATTACTTCGAGGTTCAACTCCAGTTACAATACACACTTGTGTGCAAGCATCTCACACACACACACACACACACACACGAACTCACACACTGGCAAGGGATGTGGGACAGGACTGGTCCCGTAGAAAAATCCAACATGATCAACTTGAGGGCTGTGGGATCAGCAGACTGCAGACAAATTGCTCGCTACCAACACTGCCCAAGTTAAGCAGGTGGATACCTAGTGTCATGTCCATCTTTGAAAGACATAGCATGAGCTATCAAGAATTCAGAAGATGAAATGGGATAGAAAAAGGAAAGATGATATGGGATCAGAGCAGAATTTGAAAAGATGAACTGTCATAACTT